CGAATTATAAAGTGCAAATACCGCGGCCGCTGCAAAGCATCCAAAACGTTGGGCCGTAGCTAAAATAATTTTCAAAAAAGTCAAATTAATATATATTGCGTTTTAAACCGTTAAAGTGAAAGCTTTCAAATTTAAAAGCTTATAACTTTGTATCAAAAACATTTCAATAACAAATTTGAGTTTCGTTAAACAATTACGTGTTTAATATCCCAACTACCGTCTGTAGACTGTGTCGATGTAAAGATAAGGATCGATTTCTGCACCCTGTATTTCATGTCTATCGTTAACAGTTTTTCATTAGGCAAATAGTGTGATAAGGACACGTTATTAACATTCTTGTTATATCGTGTTTATATGTTAATTTTAATAAATATGTACCATATCGGAAATTTTTCTTTTTTGGGAGGAAGAGAAAGCAGGTGCCTTAATTTACAAAAATTTTTAAAAAAAAAAATTTTAAGGGAAAAAAAAAAACTAAAATCATACCTTAAGAGGCAAAAACTGGAAAATCCCACCCTTTTGGGAATTTGGGAAAAAAAAAAAAGCAAAAAATTTCAATTTAAAAATTGTGGCGGAAGGTTTTGGGTTTGTGCAATCGGCAAAATGGAAGAGGGCCAAAAATCCTTTTATCAGATTACATAGTTACCTGAAAAAATGATTTTACAGTATATTTACAACACAAAAACTACTTACAATTTTAAACGTTAAATACTGTCTGTAGTTTACGCGAGTAGTACACATTTAAATAAAACAATAACGGTTTAAAACGCGATATGTATTAGTTAACGTTATTTGAAGATTATTTTAACTACGGCCCGATGTTTCGGAAGCTTTTCGAACCATTCGCTTAAACTACAAATAACAGTTTTATTATCGAGTTTTTTATCGAGTTTCTACAGTAAAAACTTCGATTTTAGCGTTCATTTTGTTTTATTCGGGCAGGAACAGCTTTTAAGCCCTACCAATTGAGCTTTCATACAGTGCTATAAGCTAGTTGTGCTGTATTAATTCATTTGTGTAGTTCTTAGTATTTCGCGTCATCAAATGTGTGATTACAAAAATTGGGACTTTTAGAAGTGAAAAGCTCCTTTACCAGTGAACTAATGAATGTAGTTCAGATATACGTGATGTTAGGTGGAGGTCAAGCGACGCACACCTATCGTTAATCATCCACGCACGTCATCCCACACTAAGATGGATGGTTGGATACCCTAACTAAAACGATAATTATCGACTCTTTGTTACATCTTCCAATCAGTTGGCGATGTGTTTCTTATTAATAGAATCCGGTGGATTCCGAAAAGCTTTCATTTGACGCGAACTTATAGAGATTCATACCTGAGATCGATAGCTGGCTGTTGGACAAGAGATTTTACATAGAAACTAGCTGTGCCCGCGACTTCGTCAGGAAAGATGAATTATTTTGCTATAAATAACTTGTAAGTTAATATTGTGTCACCGGCTTCGTCCGCGTAGAATTGTTGTATTGGACATCATAATTTGCTTTTGCAAACCTCCCTTTTAATTATAGCTATTACCCACAACGTAGTCCGCGTTCTGTCATTCTAGCAAGTTTATCTTAAAAGACAGACATATATACTGTCGCGGATATTTTTTTTAGATATTTAAAGAAGAAAGAGAAAAAAATTAAATATTTAAATATATAAAAAATTATATATATAAATATAATTAGTTATTTTGAATAATTTTTTTTCGGCATCCGAAACGTCGGGCCGAAGTTAAAAATCATTTTCATTTCATATCGCGTTTTAAACCGTTAAAGTGTTTTATTTAAATGTGTACTACTTGCGTAAACTATAGACAGTATTTAGTTTAAATGTTATTAACAGTAATGACTGCGCAAAACGTCGTTTTTTGTTGTTGTTGAAAGAGCATTGTTTTGGTTCTGACGCAATTTTTGGTAGATCGTAAAGTTGGTTAAAAATTTAAACGTCCCGCTTATGGACGCTAAATGAAGATATACCTCCTTGTGCGACCACAAATGATCACTAATTACCTATACAAATGTAAGCCATACAGAAAAACTTAAAGGTAGAAAGTTAGCCCTACCACTTTACACGGGCCCTACCCGAGTTAATATTATTTAATCCTGTTAAAGACGATTACTTGAGATTTAATTCGTCGTGTATTTGTCACCGTTAAGTAAAACCTTGTTACCCCTTTGGGGCACAGCATTTAGCCATACAGCAAATAATAAATCTTATTAGCGCACTCTAGGCAAAACTTTAAAACATTGAGTCACAGGGGCTGTTACTTATATGCGATACCCTTTCATATGTACACATTTGTATAGTATATATTGATTTTCATTTAAGCCATACTTCAGTCCATTTTTTTGAATACTAGGTTTATTTAAAAAAATAGATGGACTATGATTTGATAGGACAGCGAAGTGGTCGATTAAATGTAAAAGTAAAGATAAACAAACATAAAAACAAACCAAAACAGAGAAAAAAATTGTAAATAAATTTATTTAATACAATTGGGTTTAAAATAAGTGACGGTTAGCAGAAAAAGCTGAGTGGCGATTACATTAGTAAGAAATACATCAACGAAAAAAACACTTTTAACGGTTTGAGATGTGGAGTGTATATCTAGGAATAAATTGTGGTCTAACGAGAAAAAAATCGGTAAAACATAATGTTAACCGAAGAATTATTTTTTATTGATTAGGTATAATCATTCGAGAAACCGTGGTACTGAATGTCGCGCGGTCAAGCAAAGGTTGCCATCACAAAAAATGTGCTATAAATTATATAATTTATTCGTCGAGCGGACGGGTTAACGCGTGTAGTGTGGAATAACCGCGCTTACCTTTACGAGAGCCGCTTCCTAACTATTAAAACAGTCTGGATAGTAAAACGTCGTTGTAAACTAAGCCGAATGACCCCATTTTGAATGCTTAATAGCGTTCCTGCAGCACAATACAGGAATCCTTTATGCTGCGTTGAACTGGGATTTTATTGGAGTTTTTGCTTAAGAAGTCTCTAGATTTTGTACTTAAGTTAGTCGTGGGAATGTTATATTAAGTTTAAAAATACAGATAATCTTGTATATTAGAAGTAAATTTTGTTAAAATTACTGCTCACCTTCGCTTGTTGGTCTAATGGTAGCAACTTTTATTAATGAATGCATATTCATATGTTTTTTAAAACATAAGTATGTAATTTATGTAAAAATAAAAAAAAAAAAAAAAAAAAAAAAAAAAAAAAAAAAAAAAAAAAAAAAAAAAAAGGGGAAAAGGAGGAGAAAAAAAAAAAAAAAAAAAAAAAAAAAAAAAAAAAAAAAAAAAAAAAAAAAAAAAAAAAAAAAAAAAAAAAAGGAGGGGGGGAGGAAAAAAAAAAAAAAAAAACCCCCCCCCAAAAAAAGGGGGGGGGGGGGGGGGGCGCCCCCCCCCCGGGGGGGGGGGGGGGAGGGAAAAAAAAAAAAAAAAAAAAGGGGACAACCACAGGCCGCCGGTCGGTCAAAAAGGGGGGGCAGAAAAGGGGCCCCCAAAAACCCCCCGGTGCGGGGAGGGAATATCGCTTACGCGGAATAAATTATAATACTTTTATTAATGAATGCATATTCATATGTTTTTTAAAACATAAGTATGTAATTTATGTAAACATATAGTTACATAATACACAACATATAGTAGTAAGAATAGATATGCTTCGGTATTGCAGGTTTGAATCTCGCCACTTTAATTTTAAAAAATATAATGACACTAGCTGCGTCAGCGACTTTGTCCGCGTAGAATAGTTATGTGAGCTGTTACCCACGACGTGCGTTGCGTCCCTTCCCATCGTTAAAAGTCATACATAATTTTGGAAGTCTTGAAACGTTTTTGCGTACGCAGTGCGATGTTTTATAGGAGTGAGGCTTTTCTTCTGTAACCTATTTATTAAAAGTGATCGTTAATATATTGTTTCTTATTATATCTGTTGCAAAGGCAATGTAATTTGCGATAAAAATCAAATTTTAATATTTATTTTTATTTTTAAGATCTTATATATAAAATTACAATTGAATATAATCTATATTTTAAACCGAATTAAGAAATATATTTTATATCCTGTCCTTCCAAACACAGAAGTGGAAAATAAAGTGGGATAATAATTTATTGTGATAACGATTTTAATGACGACAGCTCGTATTTAATTCACATTTAACGTCGCACATAAATTGTTCAAATGTTGAATACATCTTTTAATCATAGTCAAAATACAGTAAACTTTTAATGATGCATTTGTGGAACTTTGTAGTTATATATTATAGTTGAATTTAATTACGAAATAAATCTATATAATAAAAGTGAATTGCCATTCGTTTGTCTCGCTAAAACTCGGTTGCGGCAAAACGAATTTATCTTATCTTGGCAATTAAATGTTCGTGGAGGTGTAGGGGTTGGTTTTAGAAGGAAGAAAAATTTGAATAATTGCCTGAAAAACCCTTGAAACAGCCTTTTAATAATAATTTGTACATTTAACTACAATGTTTTATTAAAACACTTCAACGGTTTAAAACGCGATATAATTATTTCAACTACGTTTTATCATTACAATTCACTTCACGGGACTATTTTACATAGTTAAATTAGTCTGTACATTATAACAATTAACTAATTACAAAATAAAATTACAAAAGGAATATAGCCCTACTTCCAAAGTACGTGAATAATGGATGCCTGTAAGTGTGCCTCTAGGCTACCACTTGGAACAATAACCTCAAATATTTATACAGTTAATAGCCACCTGTTTGAACTAATTACTTAAATAAACCAGTAAGAAAATGGAGTAGCTAATTATTCAGTCTTTATTAAAAAGACGCGATCGCCTCTGGAGCTAAATGGCTAAAAATGTGCTTGCATTGCTTTTGGCAGGGAGTGTTCGAATTATTAGCTCGTTTCGGTCGGACAGGGCACAGAAGTCTGATCATCTCTTTAACGATATTGAGCTTGATATACTCGTTACATAACCTCTTTGCCGTGTTTTTCGTTAGTACTCATAGTGATGGGCTGGCGTATCATCCAGGTGGTGATCAAGATGCCAGTAGTAGTCATGATCTGATTCACCAATAGGCATCCACTGGTGACCTCGATAGAGATAGGACTTGCCATTTCGTCCTCTGTAACCTATTTTAGCTGCTGCATTCTGGAGATGCTTTTTATTTGGCATATCCTTCCATCTAGTCAGCGCGTAAGCTTCACGATACTAAAGGGCGAATGTTTTTATTAGAATATTTTTATACAAACATATAAATTAATAACGATTTCAGATTAAAAAAAATTACGACACGGACAGGACTTAAACATAGTAGGCATCGGTAGCGTTTCGTGCTGTTTGAGCCATTGCCATTTGAGCTATACGTCATCGTCGATTCTTACAACCTATTGATGCTCGCTTCTCTCGCGTATGCGCACTTTTAACGTTATAAAACACGAAATATACCTGGTACTAATTAACGTCTCGTCCTTTGATTATGAAAATAAATATTATAATAAATTCTAATATTTAGTGTAATTTCTGTATGAATTATTGCGATTATTTTTTTTCGATCCGATCCTGGGTTTAAAACACAAAAAAACCTCAGTAGAACACACAAATCATTGTGTCTGTCCCAAGAGAAACGCAGAGTCACGCTGGTGCCTATTGGTTTATGATAGCTTTATAACAATTTAATGGCAACTTACTTGGCAATTCATTAGACCAATATATTTTCCTCTTTCGACTTGCTTCAATTGAATTTCCATACTGTCTACAGTTTGACCTGGTTTTAAATCTGCGATAAAAATATAAATTCGTGTTTAACAAAGTTATTGAGATAATATAATCTTAATCGGCAATTATGGATGTTTGTGCTGTTGATGTTTGTATAGGCCCCTTCAAGTCCCGCTCGTGTCGTGAAGTTTTTTATTTTAAAATAGATTCTTTATTTGACTAATTTAATTAGAGAGTTTGGGTATCCTGAAGAGATCTAGAAACTATCAAAAACAAGTTAAAGGATAAGACTTAAGGGAAGAAGCAAGTGCTAAGAGTGACGAAAGATAAATATATATAAAAGGAGGCTTTTAGAGGAGGCCTACGTCGAAAGGCAAATAGTTATTATAAGAAAGAATTACAGAGAATGTTATAAGTATAATATACTTTTATATAATAATAGTTTACACGAGTATAACAATTTGACGGTTTAAAACGCGATTTAAACGAAAATTATTTTAAATACGGCCCGACGTTTCGGATTCCGTCACGGCTGCGTTTCAAACCGTTAAAGTGTTTTATGAAACATTAGTTCTTTTCTTTTTATACCCAACGTTTATTGGGTATAAAAATAAAATAACTAGTGCGGCTTGCGAGTGTTTTTAACTGTATTGTCCCCATTGAGAAAAAAAACTAGTCACTTGTAATCTACATGCCTGTAAATCACACAGTTCAGATAGAACAGAATTATGTCTACCCAACTCACTTCTATACGGCATATAAAGAATGTAGCTTCCTCTGTCATTCTGCTCCACTAAGAGTTGAGTAATGTTATTTCTTTCTTTCAAAATGAGTAAGGTCGCGGTCCAATTTACTGGTTCTAAAACGTATCCATCGATAAATTGCTTCAGATAATCTATTTGCTGAAAATTGAATTAGATAATAAAGTATTTATAAGTAATATTAGGTAAATGTATAAAACAAAGTCTAACGAATTTAGTGGTGTTGAAAAAAACATTATTGTTATTTGTTTTTTTTAATTGTCTCTTGTTGTAATAAAATTGGTATTGTGTCTATAGCCCTATATTAACGTTTTAATCACGAGAGGTCCTACGTTTGAATCCAAGAGCGTACGCACTTACTGCTGACAGGGTATAGAATTCACCAAAGAACTCAAAGAAATTGATACAGCAACAGACACGAAATAAGCCCGGTGGAGGAAAAAGTAACTCTTATCATATTTTTGCTATTCATATATATTAAATTTGCTAGTTAGCTTTTAAATTAATTCCCTACACTAGGACAAATTCAAAGATAAAAAAATCGTATACTAACTATTTATACTGAACACCGAAAGAAGACCGTAGGAACTGATCACACGGTCTGCTTTCGGTGTCCATCATATATATAAACTCCTAAAAATGCCCCACACATACCTGTTTCTTTAAATAGAAGTATAAAGCACCTGTTAGTAAATATATTATGTTCTATCTATGCGCGGGCGCTGTTTGTGTGTCTTAGCTTGACAATAATTAAAAAATAATACCTTCGTCGTCGGTATCGCAAATTTGACATACATCGGTGCTGTATCCGGGCCCCAATGATAAAACGACATCCACTCGTCATGCAGCACGGAATATGGGTTAAATCTTGCAAATTTACCAAACTCTTCACATGTTGTCGATTGATTTCTGTGCATGTGAGGACCCACAGATGCAACAGTGGGACTTAAAAATGTAGTGTATATTAACCAAAACATAGTCGTATTAAAACTGGCTAAAGATAGCGTAGCTGAAAACTGTTTGGAAGAAATCCCAAGAAGAGATTCTTATATGGAAAATCGTCGGATGTTTGTGTTTATTGTCGAATGTCGGGATGTTAGTACTAAACAAGATTAACGAATGGTGACGTGAATGGTAAACGGCGCAAGATTGTTAATTCAGTAATTGTAACCAACGAAAATTAAAGGCAAAATGCTGTCCATTAGTTAAAAACCTTGTATTGTGTGTTCACTTGGGTTTTTTTTTGTATTCCATATTAATATTTAACGGTAATTCTAAATTGTGTTCTAAAGTATTTTGATATACCCAAATAAAATGATATAAGTACAGACGACTATATTTTCTAGTCAGTTTATTAATGTCTCAACATTAATTACACATCGTTAAGGTGGTCCGAATGCGGCTTGAACCGAAGCCGAAGATATTCAGTCGAAAAGAAATCTTAAAGAAATAATGAGAAATGAATAAATGAACTTGTAACCTATATAATACTTTTAATAAAACACTTTAACTAATATATCGCGTTTTAAACCGTTAAAGTGTTTTATTTAAATATTTTTATATTGCAGATGAAAGGACTAACATTGACATATTGTCAGGGAGCCAGTTGTGGTTTCAAATTTATCGATAAATAAATTTTAAAAAGTTATAAAATTTAGATTGTCCCAAAAGGCGTATTATTGTCTAAACGGTTTCTTTAATGACAAGACCGCCAGGCAGTAATATAAATTGCTCCTTAGGTTAGTAATATCACTACAATGTATTAGTTTATAAGACATGTTTAAAAAAGGCGGTCTCAGTTTCTTGGGTGTTCTTCTCAGTTATGTTGCTCTTTTGAACACTCTGTAGAATCACGACAAACTGACAGACAAAACAAAAAAATAATTGACGAATCCAAATAATACTGTCATAAGGTATAACATTTAAATAAAACACTTTAAGTTTAAAACGCGATATTATTAAATAAATTTTTAAAATTTTAAAGAGAAAAAAAGAAGAAGAAGTATTAGGTAAGTTAATTAAGTAAGTGTCGCGAATAGTGATCTTTTGGGCCTTGATCTCTTAATCTTCATTCCAAGGTTTAAATTGTATAACTAGTAAAAATATATTAACACGTTTTTATTAATAAATTATAAATTTCTACATTGTAATATTTATATCAGGCTAAGGTCGATGACGCTCGGAATCGGTACTGCTACTTCAGAAGACTCACTATGTTTCGTTTGATTAACATGTCTTCTCTCGACTATATGTAAAGGCCTCCCAGCACCTCTAAAGCGCAATACTTCAGCTGCTTTAGTTTTGTCCTCTTCTGTTTTCGGTTCTTCACCCTTTAGCGCCATGATGTACGCATGTTTTAGATCGCAGTACATTAGAGCTAAATACGCGTCCAGTATTTTTAAACGCAAATTAAGGACAGGTATTTTCTCATTTTTACCTATAACAGAAGAGTGGTATTGCCTAATCATTAGAAATATGAGGCTAATAATCAAAAAGAAGGACAGAATTTGTTAATACAACAATCCCTGCATATCTACATGTTTAGATACTACTCAAGACTAATCGTGTATTTTTACGTAAAAACTCTGAACAGGTATCAGCCCGAAAGACAATGGCTGTTCGGTCGACGTGAGCGGGAAGAGGTTCTCAACGTTTCGCCATCACATGCGGACGGCATCATCAGGAGATGTTCACTCCTCGATTGCTCGAAGAATTATATCTAATTATATTATAATTCTTGAAAGCCTTACACAATTTATTATTTAACCCTTCTATTTAATAAAATTTATAACTCAAAGATTTACTTTTAATTGATTCCGGAAGTTCATCATCCGGGATGCCATGAAATGATCCTCTCCTATCTTTTGCAATAAGTAGCGTTTTCTTTCCAGCATCGAGCAGTAGTTTAGGCTCCTTCCAGTTCACACCTTCCAGGTAGGGTCCATATTCTGTTTTAAAATGTTGTACTAGCTAAAATGTTTAAATTTATAAGTGAAAAACATTTGTATTTATTCAATTTTGACCTGCCTATTAAGAATTCAAAATAAAAGGTTTTAACGAGCTTGAAATGCAAAACATATTAAATGAATTATTGTAACCCTTAAATTTAAGATAATTAAACCAATATATTTTTCATGGTTGAGGCGTAGCAAGTGAGTTAAATGAGTGAGTGCCTACCATTGTGTTGTATTCAGGTCTAGTAACATAATAAAATCACCAACCTTTTTAGTGGGGTATGTAAATCTGTGAACAGTCCCGACGTCAATTTCTTGAGAAGACCATATATAAAATGGTATAAAGTTCAAATTGACTATATCATCCGGATGAAATACGGCTTTCTTCCCGAATTCGTCACATGTAGTCCAGTTCGAACCTAAGTTTGATGTTCTGACTAGAAAGTTCTTCTCCTCAAAGTCACTTATTTGAGTGAGTTTATTTTGCGTGTCAATAATTGATGGTTCTCTTGCTGGATGTATAGGCTTAATTTTCATTGGACCGGATTTCAAATTGCGGTCTAATAACGCTTCAAAGTTATACATCATATTACTTTGACTTGTGTTCTTCTCTGGATTCCTCTCCATCTTACTCTTTCTTCCTTCGTGCAATATTCTGTCACGAGGGCTCAGAAACTCGCGATGAATATTTGGTTCCGTTATTACAGCAAGTGCGTCTTTGGAGTTCAAATCGTTGCCGCCTTTGAAAAGCCGAGCATTTTTTGCAGGGTCTCTGTAGATATGACCAAAATCTACAGAATCGTCGTCATCACGGGAAGGATGTACAGCAGGTCTTCTATGTTTCCATGCTTCAGACTCGAAGACAGCAATGAATAGTAATAAATATGGTGTCTGCATTTTAGTGTTATATCCATCCAGACTTGCTATATATAGTGCATAAAATCAGGCGCTCGTAACATGTACAACATTTATTTTTAACACTTTAGTACTATCAATACTGAAATCTCATTCTTACTATATTATTTATTATTTACTGTTTATTGTACATCGATTTTTACTTTGTGTTCAGTAATTATGAATATATTTTATATAAAGGTTTAATTAAGAATTCCTAATTTAATGTATAACATTATAATTCTATAATAACGTTTTACATTAATTTCTCATAGTCTCTTGCATATTTATGCAAAATATAACTTCAAAAGTACAGTACTTCTGACTAAATGGTGTTTGTTATGAGTCAACTTCCTAGTTTGCAAAAGTGAGGTCGATTTTCCAAATAATATCTACTTACCAGATGCGTAAACATTTTTTTCGCTTATTCCTCTTCATTTTGTGCAAAATGTAGCGGACTTTACAGGTACACTGTTAATATAGATTTACCTATTATATTTGCTAAATTTATACCTACTGATAAAGATAGAAAAGGTTTCGCTTTCCTCTATTTTATTTCACAAATTATAACAGTGTTACGTTATTCCCAATCCATATATTCATTCGTTCCTTCCTCATCATCATCGTCAACGTCGTCAACATCGTCATCGGGTTTCAGATGATCCTCTTCAAAAGCGGCCAGTTGGGCCTCTATAAACTCTTCGTATATGTACGTTTTATTATAATTACTTTTAATGCCCAACGTGTGCACAGCTTCGTCGATCTGAAAATGTTTTACCCACAGGTTAGGGCCGCAGCCAAGTCACAAAACGTTATCAAGTCTGTGTCACTTTGATTACGTCTAGCTTTATGTTACGCGCAAGATATCGTCAGTTAGACACCGTTCACTAAAATATACTACACGAGCTTTTTACACATTATAATGATAGTCAGAAAAGTACTAAATTTTAGCTGGAGAATCGTTTTTACATTTATTTAAATCAGCTTAAGTTTTTTGTATGTATGTCATTTATAAGGCAGATGTGTTCGTTTTATTAGCCGTAATAATAACGGCTATATTTTTGTTTATATAATATGTATAAATACTTCCTGTAATTTTCAGGATCTGCGAATGTGAATTTGCGAGTTAAGTAGGTCTTTAGGATTTAATTTTATTTGTTAGCGCATAAACCCCAATAATGAAATTACTAATTTTACTTACATTTTTTTCGTTAGGCATCTTATCATAAGGCGCTAATGCAAAACCAAATCGGAAATCACATTGTAGCATAATTAAGTACCCGGGAGGAACTACTTTTATCGCCATTTCTGTATATGAGGTGTCAACTGAAAAGATCAATATTACTCCTTATAAAATGAAGCACTTGGTTTAAAACGCGAAATTTATACTGATATGAAGAGCCAAAGAGTTTGTTTGTTTGAACGTTCTTATCTCAGGAATTACTGGTTTAAATTGAATAATTATTTTTGTGATGGTTTAGATGCTATAGTATTTGGCGGAAGTCAACAGAGACAACTAAACGGAAACGTGATTAAGCTTCACGGCTTTTTCATCTGTGGACGCTTGTTCTTGACCCGGACAGAATATAAATATTCCTACCGCCATTTAATATCGATATCCAGACATGTTTGAGAAAAAATATAAATTGAAAACTTAGCAACATGTTTGACCCGGTGGGGATCGAAGCCGTTGATTATTAGCCATCCGTTGGCGCTACCATTAGACCAACGAAGCCAGGAAATTGTTATTTTCCTTCTCTACGTGCTTACCTTCGAAAGCTGTGCTGGATATGATTCGAAACTTGCCTAACACATCTGTAGATACTAACATTGCACTGACGTCAGTAGATGTCTCCATAAACAAGATAGAGTTGTTCCAGTTCACGGGAGGTGTTATATTCAACTCGCTTCGATAACGATCTATCAGCTAAACATTTTAAAGTATATATTTAAAGTATATATCAAGTGGTATATTTCATGTTCATCTTGGCTCATAACCTGTCATATGTCAACGATGTAAATATTTTACTTACTACTGGGTACGGTGGGCTAAATTTGAAGACGCACGAGGGTCCGTCATCGTAATTCCAATAAAAAAACATTTTCCAGTCAACATCGATCACAGTCTTTTGATCAAAAGTATAATTCGACAGCAAATCTTCACAACTGGTCGAATTTTCGACCATCTCTTTCAAGCTATCAATGGTACTTTTGTATGTTTCCGTGGTATTATCAACCAGGGCGAGTAAAAAATCAATGCATAATAAACTGAATGCCCAAATCTTAAAGAAATACATATTGAATTCAAATTACAATTAAAAATAACCACGTGTATAGTTCTGGACACGATCTTAAAGTGAAATATAATTTGTACCAACATGTTTTATGCGTAATAATTTGATTATGTTGACTGATATAATGTTTTGAATAATTAATATACACAATCAAATATTGATAGAATTATTCACTTCGATATAATTACATAGTGCGCATTGTGTATGTTTTTATTTTATTTTTGTCTGTAGTTTACGCGAGTAGTGTACAATTAAATAAAACACTTGTAACGGTATAAAACGCGGTCTCTCCGTGACCATGACTGCTCCAAAGCATCTGAAACCTCGGACCGTAGTTAAAAATAGTTTTCAAATAAGTTAACTAAAATATATCGCGTTTTAAACCGTTTAAAGTGTTTTATTTTAATATCTCTTCTTATTATAAAAAAATAATGTTAGTCGTATTTCTCTTTAACGAAATAATTTTTATTATTCATTTTTATTTGTAATTTAATCGAATATACAAGTTATTATAAATTAACCTTTGGGTTGTTATATAATAACTGCTTGCTATTGTTTAATATTTTTGGACGATACATTCACGTTTATAGTGATTAAAACTTTACGGGATGTGTGTGCGTTATGGGTTGGATTCCCGCCTGTATTCTTGATTTTAAAATATTTTTTTCATTTCATTCTAGTTATATTAACTGAAAAACGCTAACCACTTCTAACATATAACTTTAATCTTTTGTAGAAATAAAATTTCTACTCAATTAGGTAGTTCTACAAACAACATGAGTAACTTTTCTTTATTTATTTATAAAATATTCCAAGTCTAAAAAGAATCCTTATTTTGCTAAAAACTGTTCATCTCCATTTCTTTCCTTGGTGCAAGCGGGGAAGCCATCACCAATCTTCAATCCTGCTACAGCTGTCTCTATTTCTGATCTATATGGTGTTCTATCCGGTCTCGCGCTTAGAGAGCCTACCCCCCCTTGACAATCAACGAACAGCAAAAACTGACCATCCTGTAGAAATTTTAATGTAAACTTCATCAGAGATATTGATTTACGGGATGGCGTCATATCTGAAACATATATTTTTATACAATATAATTACATATATCGCGGACATTTTTTTAGATGCTTTAAAGAGGAATTATTATTTGCTCCTGTTAGTACCAGCGCAATGTTATATAGCCTATAACTTCCCTCGACAAATGCTCTAACCAATACGAAAAGAATTTTTGAATTTGACCCAAAGTTCTAGAGATTAACTCGTTCAAACAAACAGACGAAGGAAGAATCGGAACGGAAGGAACAGACCCCTAGAACCACACACTAGTAGTCACGAGTGAAGTAAAATTCAGTGACAAGATGCACACTGAATGTTGTTTGTTGTTGTTGTGTTGGTGTAAAAATACTCACTAGAGGTACTAGCTATGTTGGGTACAGCGACGAAGCTACCGGCGGGGCCTTGATCAGCAAACAGCAATAGTTCGTGTTTTGAGGGACTCATAGTGAGAAGAAGTGTAGCAGCATCCCAGTTCGGCTGTTGTTCTAGGTACTCATTCATCTCCGACCATATTCGATTTGTTATCTGGAATAATCAAAATAAAATAATATCCATAGGTTCCGCACTCAAACGGTATTAAACGGGACACTAATAATCTATACTAATATTGTAAAGCTGAAGAAGTATGTTTGTTTCAAAGCGCTAGTCTCAGTTTATCTAGTATTTATCGAGGAAGGCTTGAGGCTATAATAAATCACGCTACCAATAGAAGCGAAAAACGGTAGGATATGTTAAAAACCAGAGAAAATTATTCATTTTTGAGTAGTTTCCGTTACGTGCATTGCGAAAACGGTTCAAGATACCCAAAAAATATATTCTTCTAATTATATTAATTAATTAGGATATATATGCTAACTCGCTAAACCTTTTTTATGGTAGACATTTTTTTTTAAATTAATGCATTTTACCAATAATTTGCTAGAGTTGTATGTATCAACATAATAATAATTATCTCGCAAACAACAGAATAACGCTTGCCGGATCAGCTACTAAACTACTACTAAGTATAATAAGTTAACCTCTTTTTTCAAAAACCTTCAGAGTGAAAATGAAACACGAATTTATATTCAAAGTTCTTACGTTCTAATCTAATCAGAATTCGGTCAATTCTACATGTTTAAAAATATTAGATGTTTTTTATAAACGTACATGCAAAAGATATCGAACCTGTGACCCGTTGGTAAATAATACTATACGATAAATTGCTACCAGAGAGCCGTCATAACTGACAGTCTAATATGCGTTAGCGCTTTCTTTTGTTTTTACCTTTAAAGAAGCGTTTTTGAATTGCATCTCCAAACAAGCAGTGTCCAACTTTAGATTCCAGGTGTAATATATTCTCCAAGGTTGCCCCACCACCATGTCCATGTCGAAGTATGGTTGCTTCGCTATCCTCTCGCACATTTCATGGTTTTTCTTGTAAAAACCCTCCTTTACTATTAAACTCTCCGTTATTAAGAAAAGAGAAATAAAAAAAATATGACACGTTCCATGTAGGATTTCCATGGCTACTGAGTAAATAGCTTGGAGATCCTCTTTATAAACATTCCGCTTGAGAAATGATCTATGTTTTGTTAGGATGTTTTGATACTTTCTTAAAGCATTGTCTCGTGTGGGAAAAGTTCTATCTCCATTCGGGTGCTACATCACTTTGCCACATGCGCAAGAGTTCCTTACGTATTTCAATATTAAATATTGTATACTTTTTGCATTTATTAATTTAAATAACGAGTTACAAACAGATTACATACAACTCCTTATAAAACGGATGTTATTTATTTAGACATTCTAAAATCAATTTAGTATTAAATCTAAAAACGAGATTTTTTTCCAATCTTGCATATGTTTATACAAGTAAACGATTGTAATTTTCAAAGAGGTGTTTAAGTTGTTTGTTACCTTAACTTTTTTTTGTTAACTCCCACTCTCATTCATACACTCACTCCCACTCTCAATCTCACTCTCACTCTCACTCCCACTCCTATTTCCACCCAAAAGCCAAAGAAGAAAGTTTCATTGTTCTAGCTTAAAAAAACACGAATTTCCATATAAACTTTTATCCCCGTTTTCAACCCCTATCAACCCTTTTTTTGCATTAAAAGTCCTTCTCAGGCTCTAAAATATCTGTGTACCAAATTTCATTTAAATCAGTTCAGTAGTTTTGGAGTTAAAGCCGGACACACAGACAGAGTTACTTTCGCATTTACAATATTAGTATAGATTATAAACTCCATTAAAACCACAATAAAAGTGCGTTACAGGTGCGTAAAACTTAATTAAATAAAAGTCGAAACAGTTTTTCAAGCGGCAGAGAATTTCATTTGTTTTGAAGTAGGCGTGTATGATGCAAAGTTGGGACCAGCGATGCGTATCTTCGGGTTATGTAGAATTGGTGGGCGGAATATGATCATCGGTACTACATCAATGACACGGCTTGATAATGACCGGTGGCGAAAATGTATGAAGAATTACATACGCTTTTGTACCTCAATCCTTTCTATACTGCTTAGATGAAAAGTCGTAGATTTTCTTTTGTTTTTTTTATATGTAGTTTTTATTTTCGACCGGATGTTTTTTAGCTTATTGCCTCATAACAACGGAATATGTTAGCGTTCTTAATATACGCAAATCAATATATTTAAAACACAACGAGTTTGCGAGTCTAATGTTTTCAAAGGTTTTTTTGTAAAAAATAAGTGTATGTGTTTTTATTTAACCACTTGTAATTTCAGAGGTATTATTTTATTTTATCTGCAAATTTATAATTCTTATATAATGTTTGTAAAATTAGTTTATTATTGCAAAATTTTTTTTTTTGTTTTCTCGAATAAACGTAATATGCTAGTCCGTTTAAATAATGAAAAATGTTTCTCCTTCGACAAGATTAGATCCTCTTTTCCTTCATGCTTTGGAAAGTAAGTGCGTATGCGCACGATAGGAGCTGATTAAGGAGGCATAGAAGCCAATAACCATTTATAGAAGTTATCTGGTGAATCAATAATATTTATGATGCTGAAGCTAGTAAGGCGGAACCTGCAGGTGAGGGGCGTATGCCAAGTAATTTATTGGACATGTTCAGCTTGTTTGAATCGATGTAGGCATTGAATTCGCTGCGAGGTCACTGAACCATCGTATAGTTAGTTAAGTTTTTAACACACAGATGCTAAGCATGGACAAGACGATGTTGATAAATCACGCTGACCTATAAAAGCCTATTTATAATATTTTTAAAGATTTCCAGGTTCCATATTCGAAGCAAAGTGGTATCTAGCTATCGGAGACACTATCGCAAGTAAGAGAGGTCGTGGGGTCGATTTCATAAATTAAGGTAGATATATAAATGCGGAGTTCTCAAAGTAAACTAAAGATAGCTTTCAAAGCCTTATCTTAGCGGCGGCTTGACGCCAAACTAACGAAATAAAATATATTAATAACAATAAAACTAAATATTAGTTGCGATATCTGGTTCTAAAAGCATATAGCAATTATTTAATACTAGGTACTATTAGTACAAATTAAATAAACCACTTTTATCGGATTGAAACCTTATTATAACGGAACACGTAGGTATACTGTAGTCAGAAGTAAAAAATGGTCACTCTATTCTAGACGCTTTGCTTGTATAAATCAAAAAAGACGGTAGAACGAATATGAATCGAGTTTTAAGCGCCTAACATATTAATTGAACGCAGTGTCATTAAAATCAAATAATATAAACTAGATAAAAGCTACTCATGATACGAAACTTAATCTAATATAATCAAAAGCTGAACTAGTTAATTCGACCTCAAACGCCACTTTCGCCACTTTTGCTTTCACGTACCAAAACATTGGTACACCCTCGTTTAATCTACCTGCAGACTTACCATGCTTACCCCGCACATCTACTATCATCCATACCTACAACCCTTATCAGGAAACAAGCTACTACATCCCTACATAGCTGAGACAAAATTGGTATCTATTGATACAGCAATACGATCTATATTCGTGTGTGTTATTTCGTAGTTATGCCTTTCTGCTTCGAAGCGAAAGTTTCCCCACCAAGCATCTCTCGCGCCCTGCCTCATGCATTTAAATTGCTTCATTATCGGAAAGCAGTAGGGTTGTCGAGTAAAAGTAGTTGAGATAAAGTTTTGTTTGCCCTAACTCTTAAGATTAACGTAACGCCACTTCGAATACTTGAAAACACGTTGAGACGTTGACCGAAGAAAGTCTTGCCGTAAGATGTAAATTTGTCTAAGAAACTTCGATGTAAATTATTAAAGATGTAGCGAAAAAACAAAATTGTAGGGCACAACATTTTTCTACTGGACTTTTAAAATCTGTGTAAACATGAATTATTTAAATAATATAAAATATAGTTACAATTATTTGTAAATATTATTAACAAACACATTTCGGGTTTCAAACTGTTAAAAGTGTTTTATTTAAATGTTTACTACTCGTGTAAACTACAGACAGCACCTACATAACTACATAACTTTTTTACGAATTTAAACGTTTTACGCTTAATTTTGTTGTTACAATTGTATGTAATATCAACTTATACATAAAGCAAGTTTGGACGAGTTGAAATCAGTTTTTTTACCCCATCACGTCATTTCACATCGTTCGAAATTGTTTTATTTGAAAAATGTATTTGTCGTTAATTTTAAGAAATTGACAACCCTAGCGATGGAAGGGAGGCTGGATATCTGGCTAGCGATCATTAGTCCCAGTGCGGGCGCGGGAAGACAAAATTTTGCATGCTACCAGGCAGATACGTGACTCGTGCTGACCAGGATCATAATAATAGCTTTCGGAGTGGATCAGCGATTTTTTCATTTATATACTAGTACCATTTTGCACACCTTAACCTACCTATGGAAAATGTAATATTAAAAGTTTGATGCTCTAGGAAAAATACCGGAAAGATTTATTGTTTCTCTAGGATTTGAACCACAGAACTCTCGTAGTTATGAACGATGTATTTGTCTTAGAAATCCTAGCTTGTATCTATCATATACGAATGTGTTCAAATCCATATTTTGCATACAGATTGATTGATAAAAAGTGAAATGAAAATACCCGGTTCACCATATTTTGCTTTGGTCAGTCGGAAATCCTATAGAATATTCACAGACTTAAACTAAAATGCAATCTTTATATTAAATAACTATTGTATGTCCATTTAGGGTCCTGACGAAAAAAAGAAGTTTGGAAAACTTTAACACAATTAAAACACACTCGTAAGTATTAGCCCGACAAGACGGGCTTGTGGTGTAATGGTAGCAATGTATGTCTCATAATCAACGAGTCGTGGGTTCGATGTCTACCAGGTCCGACATTTTTCAAATCAATTTATAATTTTTCCGTCTAGATCTTAATATTAAAAAGGCAGTAGAAATATCTAAATTCCATCCGGGTCACGAACCTCCGTCAATAGATGAAGCCGTGAAGTTTAATCGGTTTTCGATTTTAGTCGGTGGATTTCAGAATATCCAAAGTTGAAATAGGTCGACAACATCTTTTTAGATGTTATACGGCTGTGGTATTTCTCTATCATAAAAAATAAAAAAAACATAGCTACCACTGAACCAACAAAGGCGTTATGATTTTTTCCTTTTAATCTACTTCCTAATATTTAGCCAATTGTTACCTAATGCACATCCGATTTCCGACAATCCGAAAACCAATTAACACACCCTCACATTACATAAAAACTTTTGCAGATGTCCATTTACGAAATCGAAACGTCAAAATTTTGCGTATTCCATCGCCCGGTGGTACATACCCACAATAGAATATCCACGTGAATGAATTCGCTTATCCAATCATAAAAGGTGTCACATTACTATGTGCTATTATGGGTATCTTAGATCTGTTTACAAACAAAATAGAGGCTTGTTATAATCTGTTTTCGGATGCGTTGCTCTGTGGCAACTTTTGGCGCGATTATTTTTTTAGCGGCTCAGCAAAGGTAGGATTTCGTATTTCGACGCCTCTTTGTTGCTTTATCTGTGGAATAAAGGTGTACTTAACTAGAAGGGACGATAAGCCTAACTTGATCTGCGAATAGTTTTGTGTGGTCCTTTCAAACGGCGATTGACACTTTATTTCTATAGGCTTCTAGAAAATTTTACTTTCAACTGAGCAATCCTTTGTGAATATTATTTTAAGCTGGTGTCGCTTTTTCTTTCCGCGTTCAAAGCGACCGCAATGGCTTGAGAAAGTGAATTTAATATTGTGGTTTCATTTACGATATTTGTTAAGTGTATACGTAAAAACTATTTCAGTTTACGATTATTAAACAATGACCACATAGGATACCTACCTATACGCTTTATAGTACCTACATATGAGCTTGTATATATACATCTAACGATCTCACAATCTGTATACGACAAACGTAAGGAAAAAAT